AATGAGAAATGAAGATGCAGAAAGCCACATTTGATTTTCGTAATTTCTTTACTATGATTTTATTATTTGTTTTGTTTTAGGTATATAAAAGGGAACTTGAGATCAGTCTACAATAAAAGAAATAAATATAAATATATTTTGTTTCCTCAACATTGGTCATATGAAGTTTTCTAATTCTCTGGAAATTGAGATAGATGACAGCCATGTCTCATGAATTTCTTGGTTCCTCCATGGTCCCTGACTTGGTGTGGGGTACATAATATGAAGAGATTTTTTAAATAAATATTGACTGATAGACATTCCAAGACTCCTATGGAATATTCCAGTTCCATAAAATTCTAACTTGAGAAGCTCTGGATACCCTCACTGAAGACCTAGGCCATTAGCACATCATATAATTGTATGTTCTGTGGTCTCATTAATAGTGGATTTTGGGATGTTTCTGCCCTATACTTCAGTTGGTCCAGAAATCTTAAAGATTCACATAATTCATGGTAGGTCCATACTGGAGAGATTTCTGGTCTGAATCTCATCTATGCTGGAATGAAGCACTTGCAAAACATACCAAAGAACCTACCAACTATTATTGTAGCTTTAACTCCAAATCAGGTAGCTGTTGCTCTCTCTCTGGGTTGGTGAAATCAAGCTTTTGTTTAAAATTCTTTTCATGAAATTTATAATGAACAAGGACTAAGACCTTTAAGGAATATTAGAAAAAACATCATTTGCTGTTGGTATTTCAAATTAAGTAGTTTAAAAAGTGAATGTTTTAATTTTCTTAGAAAAGCACATACTCTTTATAGTACGATTAAAGGCACCTGAATTTAATAAATCAGAAACTACAAATACAAGTGTTAAATTAATAAGCTTAATATCATTGAAAGGACCTCAAAACTATAATGATTGCCACTAAATTTACTTACTTCCTCTGGTACAAATAGAAACATAAAGGGTTTACTTAAAACTATATTAGGGGAAATAAAAATTTATTTTAGGAATCTGATCCAGATATAGAAAATGCAGATCCTCTCTTAAATATACTTTGTATAAGAAAAAGAAGTATGAACATGTTGAGAATATAGGCTAATGAAAGTAATTTTCATATGTGGCTTATAGAAATAAATCTTGCTGCTTTAAAATCCCACCATGTATTGGTGTTAAATAACTTGTTTAGATCTGCAAAATAAATCTGCAAGGGAGTATAATGTATCACTGCTGAGTTGAGGGCAATTTTGGAGTAAACGGAAAGATTCTGACACTACCATGAGGAATCAGTAGCCCGTACTAGAAGTCAGAGCAGACTTGGCATAAAAGAATCCAGAAAGGTTTTCAGCAAGAGGGGAGAGGCAGAAGGTCAAAGTCAGAGGGTGGGAATTCCATAGGAGTTGAGGACAAGGAAGTCAGCTCTTCAGTTTTTTATTTTCTGATGGCCTCCTCCTTCTTGAAACCCTCTTTCCTAGTCTTCATGACACTACACTGTCCTGATTCTCATCCTATTTCTTTGACCATCCTTTTGGTTCCTTTGGTTTCTGATTGACACCCACATCTATTCTGTGCTGATTTTCATATCTAGATGTCCAACTCTTTGCTAGATATTTCTACTTGGTAGCTTGTCAATACCTAAAATTGACTGTGTTGAAAACAGAAATAATACTACACTCTCCCAAACCTACTGCTCCCTCTCTACTGTCATTGCCATGGGATGACTCAACTGCAATCTCTCTCAATTATTCCTCTCCTGCCATTTCTCATCACTTATCAAATCCCAGGCAATAATGTGTGCATCCCCCTTACCATCCTTCCTGCCGCCACACTGGTTCACCTCATAGATAGTGCCTGCTACCACACTAATACCTCTCACCTAGAACACTATTTCCTACTGGTTTCTAGCAGAAGATTCATTCCTAGAAATGGTCCTAGAAGGAAAAATGTTTCTATTTTCTTCGCTCAAAACCCTTTTGTGGCTCCCCATCGATCTAAGCATTGATCCAAGCACCAGACTCTCCACAACATGGTTTCAATATACCTTTCTAGTATTATGTTCCCCCCATGTGGCGGAGTAGCATAGGAGAAAAGACATGAACTTTGGAGTTAGCTCCAGGTTCAAGTTCCAGCTTTGTCTTTTAAAAACTGTAAAAACATAGGTAAATCATTTATTGCTTGAGCCCTTTTTTTGCTCATCTGCAAGTGCAGGTAGTAATTGTAGAGATGGGAGGATGTCGTGAGATAATATTTGTGGAAGCTTCTTGCACAGTTGTGTCATGACACTCTCTGCCCCCACAGGTTATAATGTCACTAGATGGGTTGAGCCTCTTTCATAAGGTGGTCACTCAGCATCTGCCTTGTAGTCAGTGGCCAGTGATTTTTTTAAATTGAGAACCCAGAGGAATGTTAATTAGTGTCAAAGAAACTGGTTAATAAAGCAGTTCTCTACCTTTATTTGGGGAATTTTCTATGAACCCTGAAGGGACAGGAGCCAGTTCCCAGAGCACATCCACGCGTTTTAGGTGGAACTATGCCATTGTTCCTTGGCTAAGTGGGGTGTGCAGAATCAGCAGCAGTGCTTGGAAAGTAAATCTCTGATTGAAACAGATGAACCAAAAGCCCACTGCCACTTCTGTTAGATTTAGAAACTTTTAAAAGTGCCTAGATTTCACTAGGAAGTCCAAAATGAAGAAAATACGGGGTCTTCAATGCCCCTTCCTAAGGAGGAGAAAGGAATTTTTGTCTGATTTGTTCATCGTGTAGCTCAAGTGTCTAGAACAGTATCTTGCATGTAGATTGTGCTAGTTAAGGTCTGATGCAGGAAAGAATGAATGAGCGAATGAATGAGTGAATGAAAGTGACTATGGCATATATCTTATATGTGCTCTAGCATGGTGCAGAGTATATAAAATACCCTCAATAAATACTTGACTAGCTAAATATAAAGATTTATACCCTAGCCAGTCAAGGGCATTTAATAATGTACCAGAAACTAAACATCACTTTTCTATATTTCTATTTTATAAAATATTTATTTATATTATCATCATTCTCTTTCTTTTTTTTTTTTTTTTTTGTCTTTTTTTGTGACTGGCAACGGATCGCAACCCTCAGTATCACGCCTGTACGGGACCGGGACCGGCAACGGGATTGCAACCCTCGCTGTTGCGCCTGCACCTCGCTCAGCCAGTGAGCGGCTGGTCTGTACGTGGGATCCGAACCCTTGGCGGGAGCGCCGCTGCGCTCCCAAGCGGCGCACTGTAGCAGTGCGCCACCGGGCCAGCCCATCATTCTCTTTCTTTTAATCACTCACTTATTTCTCACCTCAAAATAGGGAAGTGTCTAGTTTGAAAATGGGTGAGGAGAGGGAAGTGAAATTAGGAGATTACATAGGTATTTTTAGCTGGAAAGTCAAAAATTTTTGTCTAAAATGGGTTGAGTACATTGAATGGAATGAAAAGAAAAACAATTTTTAAAAAAGATGGAGAAAAACAATTCATAAGGTGTGTTGAACATGTTTGACAAATTTATATGGAAAGAATCTTACATTTATACACTGCATGTTTTTCCTTAAGCACTCAAAGTTCGTGTAACTATCATTCCTGTACAAGGAGAGAATAACTAAATTCCTCTTTTACAGTTTTGGAAATGAAAGCTCAGTAAAGTTAATGATCTATGTCTGCAATCAGATGTAGACCCAGGGTTGGAGTCCAGGACTCCTGAGTATTCAGGAGTAAGTACAGAAGTGGAAGTGTAAAGTGAGCCTGACACATTTTAAGAACATGAATGAATAGGGTAGTTTGATTGGAATGAAGGGAGTATTATAGGAAAATCATAAGAAATTAGGTTAAAGAATAAATATGAGATAGATTATACATAGTGCCTTAAGTAATACAATAAAAAACTTGGATTTTTATCTATGTCAGTCATTTTGAAATTATTTCTAAAGCCATAATATCCTTTAATAAGAAATCTTACAAGAGATGCCAATATGCAAAACAAGTAAAAAGGAGGTGGTCTCTCTAGTTGAAGCTGTTACTCCTTCCTGCCCTCAGGAGAAAAGTTTGAAAACTACTGTCATTAGTGCTGACATGTTTTGAACAAGGTGATACACCAAGTGGCCTAGACACTGGGTGTAGGAACCCACTATGGAGGCAGAAAGCAATAGGCCTGACTGGCAGGGCTGCCCATGGAAAGGGAGGGCAAAGACAGTGTAGTCAGCAAAAGCATCAGAACAGAGAGGGGAGCTCAAGATTCATATTTGAGCAGCTGTGGAAGTTCAATTACAAAAACAGTGTCAGGCAAAGGAGGCAGCTGCTGGTTTTGATGAAAGACAATGCTGTATCTTTAAATGTGTTTTAGGCATTTAGGCATTTATATACACTCTGCTATGGTCAAAAGAATAGAAAGCAGCTCAGCTCTTTTTGCTGCACCAGTTTTCTTTCTCTTTTTTCAAATAGATGAAATAAATCTTCCTTGCAAGAGCTAGAAAGCCACACTTTGTTATATTTAGAAACTTATAAAAGTGTTTAAGATTTCACCTGAAAATTTAACATGAAGAAAATGGTATCCTCAATGCCCCATTCTAAGAAGGAAAAAGGACCATTTCCATTTTAGTGACATTTCTGTTCTCCAGACAGTTTGAATAACCAGCATATTAATTTTTATCTTTAAAAACTATTTTTTCCCCAGTGTAGTCAGGTACAATTAGATGATTTACTTCAAGTATAAGTATAACAAATTGTTTTTGAAATGCAGGACTTTTCTTGTGCTTTATAATATAAATCATGAACATGAATTCTGTTGGATGTGTGCATCTGACTACAATAATTGCGATGCTTATTATTTCGATTGAGAACAAATTGCAGCTTTTGGCAACCTGCATTTGATGAGAACGATCTGCTCTTCCTGTGCATTTCTAAAACTTGTGATGCAAACACTCCCGCCCTTTTCTGGGAACACAGAAAGCCTGACTCAGGCAGCCGCCGCTATTAAAGCAGCTCCAGCCCCGCACACTTCTCGGCTGGGGAGAGAGCACCAGCGCGAAGATGAAGCCCGCAGCTAACTGGTACTGGCTGGGCTCAGCTCTCTTTGCTGCCTATGGTTTTTTGGTAGTAGCAAACAATGAAACAGAGGAAATTAAAGATGAAACAGCAAAGGACGCCTGCCCGGTGAGGCTAGAAAGCAGAGGGAAATGTGAGGGGAGAGGAGAGTGCCCCTACCAGGTGAACCTGCCCCCGCTGACTATTCAGCTCCCGAAAGAGTTCGGCAGGATCGAGGAGATGTTTAAAGAAGTCCAGAACCTCAAGGAGATTGTAAGTAGCCTAAAGAAATCTTGCCAAGACTGCAAACTGCAGGCTGACGACAACCGAGACCCAGGCACGGGAGCCCTGGGGGAGGCTGGTGACAACAGAGTTAGAGAATTGGAAAGCGAGGTTAACAAGCTGTCCTCTGATCTAAAGAATGCGAAAGAGGAGATCGACGGACTTCACGGTCGCCTGGAGAAGCTGAAACTTGTAAATATGAACAACATAGAAAATTATGTTGACAGCAAAGTGGCAAATCTAACATTTGTTGTCAATAGTTTGGATGGCAAATGTTCAAAGTGTCCCAGCGAAGAACAAATACAGTCACGTCCAGGTATGCATAATGTTTTCTTATCATTTGTTTATGAATGTTATAAAGCTGGACAGTATCCATAAACATTAGTCTGAGCAAGTAAGTTAAATAGACAATAGGTTAAATAAATAAGCCTTTTATTCATTAAGGTAGTGCAGGAAAAACAAAAATATTCTCAAGTATCTTCTCAAACAAATCTTCTGTGTGGCCACAGGAATGACATATGACCTAATTACAGAAATCATAATTAGTTCTGTATCCATTAGAAAGCATTTTTAATTTCAAGATCTAATTTGCTAATGCCAGACCTATATACAAGCAGAGGTAGAGAGGATTTCTTAATGTTTTAGTGCATTTAACTTATCTCTTCACTGAAGTGTTTGAAAACAATAGAGATAAAGCAATGTTTGCAATTGTGTTTTATTCATTGAAAATCAGTTTTTCTTGTCAGCTGACTGCCACTTCTCATGTGGCAATAAGAGGTCTTTGAAAGATTTTAGCAAGTAATCTTCAGTTCATCATCCCAAATGAAAATGGGAGCTTTTATAGATAGAGTAAAAGCAGCTTCATCTGTGTACAAAACTTTTTGTTTTGAAACCTAGTGACACAAAAATGTTTTAAGGGGAGAGTTTTGGAATGCTACTAAGAGAAGGAATACATTCTTTCTTTCTTTTGCCTTATACTAGAATTCAAGCATATAAAAATAGAACCCACCCTCACCATCCAAATTACTTGAATTAACTTTAATAAACATATGTAAAAGACCACAGACCCAACTGCCTATTTTGCCCGTGAACTAAGAGTGGCATTGGTTCCCCCAGACCCTGGCTTTCCACCTGAGTTCTGCGACCACTGCTGCTGATGGTCTTGTTATACTCTGGAAAGCCTTCTTCACAATTAGTAACTTTACTTAGCATGAGTTGCTAAGGGACATGGTAGAGATCACTTTCATTTGGAATAAGTACCTCAGGCATGCTTCAACGCCAGGGAATCTGCCAATGAAGTTGGACCATTGTTTCAAGCACCACTGTTGCTAATACCCCTGGCAGCCTGTATCTGAATGTACCCTGCGCATTGCAAGTCAGAGGTTCATGTCTCAGGTACACATTAGATTTGATGCCACGTGGCAACTTGTAACAATATGAACAAGATTTTATCACTTATTTTTCTCCTAAAAGTATTGGGACAGTATCTTAATATTCTGAGTTCTAAATACGTCCGAATAGATTTTTATGTCTTAGAGTATCTTATATGAAACCTACCTTATCTGTTACAAATTTTTATAAAACTTATCTGGGAGCAAATATCTGTCTTTGATTCCTGCAGAAAAGTTGATCAATTATCACACTTATCACCTCTCACTTCTTTCTAGAAATCAAACATGTGAAATAATGGCTAAATACTTTCTTGGATAATAAATTGAAAATAAGAATATTAGCATATTGTTGAAAAAGACTTCTTTTTCACTTGCACTTCTTTACATGGTTGTAAAGTAAAATAAATGTGAATTTATGATCAATGGTGAAGATTAGGATTTTAATAGATCATTTGGAACATATCCTATAAAACTTTGACAGTGGAGGCTATCAGCCCCTTTAGGTTAAAAAAAATAGACACCTGTGTTTCCTCTGTCTGCATGGAAAGCAGTTATAGGCGAGTTGGAATCATCTGAATTTTAGGACTGAGGAATGCAATGGTTATGAGAAAAAGCTTTGCTGCCAACTAGATCTGAGTTTGTGTCCTGGCTCTGCCATTTAATGCTTGTATACACTTGGGCAAGCCACTGATTCACTTTGAGCCTCAATATCCCCACCAGCAGACTGGCAATAACACCAACATCATAAGATTGATGTGCAGATTAAGTGTGAAAATGTTATTCAGTGTTTGGCAGAGTGCCTAGAACATATAGGTAGCCCTCACTAAATATTACTAAATTACAAAAACTATTATTTGTATTTATTTTTTATTCTTTTCTTACTGTTGTTTGTTGTTGATGTTGTCACTCTTATTATCAACCAAGAGTATATTAGAGAGCCTTGTCTACTTTATAACACTGGGTTCTTGTTCTGAGGCCTTAACTAGCATTTGCCAAATAGGATTGAGTAAGTTCAGCAGAACAAGGTTTCATTATTGCCATTGACCAAATTATCAGACTGCTTCTGAATATATACAAAAATTCTTCAGATGTATAGCATTTATTAACAAAATCTAATGCCTTCCTTTTCTTATTCTTTCAGTTCAACATCTAATATATAAAGATTGTTCTGACTACTACGCAATAGGCAAAAGAAGCAGTGAGACCTACAGAGTCACACCTGATCCCAAAAATAGTAGCTTTGAAGTTTACTGTGACATGGAGACCATGGGGGGAGGCTGGACAGTGCTGCAGGCACGTCTTGATGGAAGCACCAACTTCACCAGAACATGGCAAGACTACAAAGCAGGCTTTGGAAACCTCCGAAGAGAATTTTGGCTGGGCAATGATAAAATTCATCTTCTGACCAAGAGTAAGGAAATGATTCTGAGGATAGATCTGGAAGACTTTAATGGTATCAAACTATATGCCTTGTATGATCAGTTTTACGTGGCTAATGAGCTTCTCAGATACCGTTTACATGTTGGTAACTATAATGGCACAGCTGGAGATGCTTTACGTTTCAGTAAATATTACAACCACGATATGAAGTTTTTCACCACCCCAGATAGAGACAATGATCGATATCCCTCTGGGAACTGTGGGCTCTACTACAGTTCAGGCTGGTGGTTTGATGCATGTCTCTCTGCAAACTTAAATGGCAAATATTATCACCAAAAATACAAAGGTGTCCATGATGGAATTTTCTGGGGCACCTGGCCTGGTATGAGTGAGGCACAACCTGGTAGCTACAAATCCTCCTTCAAAGAAGCCAAAATGATGATTAGACCCAAGCACTTTAAGCCATAAATTGCTAGTTCTCATTCCTCCAGGTATTCATTATCTAGTAGCATCAATTAATTCCTTCAGCACTCTGAAACTGAAATATGCCTTGTTTTCTATTCCTTTTACACATGGCTAAAAATTATCTCTGAATAGTAGTCTCTTAATGCCACACAGCATTTGAAATAAAGCTGAAAAATATGCATTTTTAAAAGAGTCCTTTGTTGCTGTTATGCTGTTATCCAATGAATGCTTGCAAGCACTTGGGAATACTGAGAAATACACATTAGATTTATAACTATTTTAATTTCTACTAATTGAAAAGTTTCCTATTACTTGTATTACTTGCTATAATTAAAAATAATTGTTTATTCAGCAGGCTAGATTCTGCAAGTAATCTGTATTTTGGCTGTGACTTATGCACATCTGAAGGTATATCACTTTTTTCAGGCAGTTTTCAAACAATTATTTGGGTATTAGTCTCAAAATATCATAATATTTATTCTGACTTATGGCATTTACTTTGGGTCAGGAGGACTCAATATATGGCATTTATTTTGGGTCAGGAAGACTCTATAGTATTTTAGTTCCTGGACTAAAGGAAAATATATATTATTACACCTATTTATGTAATAGTCATGAAATGTAAAATATTTGTCATTTAAAATATTTTAAAATGTACCTGCATAATGTTACCCCTGAAAGCATTCAGAAAATAATGTAACTGTAAAGACCATGGTTTAAAGGTAATTCATTTGCAGTTTGAAACTTGTTAAATGTTTGATTGTGAAAACTGCTTTAACATAAAAATTATATTCCTTTGCTCTGTATGCACAATAGGTTTAAATTTAAGATTGCTCACTACTGTGCCAGACTACTGGTAGGCTTTCTTTTTGGGGGTAAATGTGAGTGAGGAATGAAACATATATTTATAGGCTATAATACTCTGCAGACCAATTTTATATCCAAAGCAATAATATCATTAGGTGATTCACTTCATAAAAGCTAAGTTTTCTAGGACAAATACATAAGTTTATTTTATTAAAAACATATGAATTTAGAAATATATAGAACAGTAGTTCAAATATTACATATTTTAACCCTAACTGATGGATTGCTTATTTTACTATCAGAACTTCAGAGATAGGTGTTTACTTTTTTTAACCAAACAAAAGTATCTGGAACTTATAAAACTCATTAATTAATTCTGGAATGCCAAGTATCATATTAAAGGATTATAAAAAATAATGTTTAATTTCATCACTGTAAAAAGGGATCATTTCAGAGGGAAAAGCAGTATTCTGCCCTAGAGTAAAATTTGAAGTAATTCACTGTACTGTATGTGAGACATAGTAATAAATTGAATCTTAAATTTCTAATGTCTGTTTCTAATACCCTAAGCAAGTTTTCAAAATATATTCACAAAGATGCATCTTTAACCATTATTTGAAAATGATTGAGGAGGATAATTACTTCAGGTAACAAGTTAATTTTTCAAATATTAAGCCCTCATAGAAAATTTTAATCAAAAAGAGGCAAGATGTTCTTTTAAAAATATATAACACAAAGTCTTCAGGTAAACATAATGAAAATTAAGTTATTATAAGTACTATTAAAATGTTAAAGCAAGAGAAATGCAAATAGAATTAAATGATGACCAAAATGTAAACTATTGTAGATTTTTAAAGGCTGTGTATCTACTTGGCAGAATACCAAATGTAAATGATATAATTAATTTTATTTGTCCTTTTTGCTTTTTAAAAATGACTAAGAAGACTAATATTTTATAATGTACTTGCTTCAGATAAGGGCTTTTTCCTTTACTATATGTAATTATTAACATATGTATAAGTTTAAGTAAGTTTCTGTGATCAAAAATGGACTTATCACAAAATGCAGTTCTAAAGAAAAATATATGCTCATATAGAGACTGCCCACTAATTTAATGGAACTAGGTATCATTTCAGGAGAATTTGGCAGATAATTCATTAATGCATGTAAACACTCAAAAGCTTGTTTTTCAATTTTTCCACCTTATTTCAATGGATCAGAATTTTATTTTTCATTATACTTTTATAGCACTTACCTAATAAATTGCATAACATAGAAATTCCTTTTTGGAATCATTTAATGTCACTCATAAAATATATTCCAGACTTTGATAATCATTAACATGTTGATGGATATAAAATATATCTGAGAGTCTTTTTGGCTTAACATAACTTCACTAAATGTATATGCTAATGTTTGTAAATGTGGGTTGACTATTTACAAATACATTATTTAGATTTGTATCTTGGTTCCATTTCGATGGCTAATATTATCTTAATTTTAAGACTTTATTTCTGAGTATTGTCATTCTTTGAAAATATTGACTAAAACTGGGTCTTTAGAAATTCTAGGTGGAGCTGATTCATCTAATCATTGAGGAAAAAAAATCAAATTATACTGATAAGCAGTAATGCTCCAAATGAACTAATGACACATCCATCCAATAAATAAAGAGCTTAAATATATAAAGCATAAGAAGTATCCAAGCAACAAAATTTGCTGGTCCTTATTTTTGAATAGCTACACAAGAAAATGTTTTCGAGGTAAAAATGATGGGTAATTCCACAACAAGCTCATGTTTAAAATTCTTTTCTTTTATGTATAATTAGGTTTATGTTTCCTGTCTTTCTAAAACTTTGTAAAATACAAGATTTAATCATCACATCTATTTATTCTTCAATGTGTAAAAATTAAATATTCTTGTTTGTAAAATAATATTTACATACTTACTCATCTGAAAAGTTGTATAATGTTTACCTAATCTAGACAATGTCCTTGACTCTTTGAAGACTTCAGTGAGTGCTGTTTGTTATCAGGAAGACAGAGGCAAATAGAGGAACACCATTATCTTATTTCCGTCTAAACTACTTTTGAAATAGACACATTTGAAATAGAAAAGTTTCAGTTTCATTTTGAGGCATTCAACTCCATCTCCTCTTTTTCCATCATTGCTGTTGATGCTCTGGCTCAGCCCTCATCATCCCCTTAGGATAATGCAAACACTTCCTAATAAGTAGCCTATACCTCCAGTTTCAATCTCTTCCAGTCCATCTTCCATATCACTGCCAGAGGGATTATTCAAAAATACAGTTCTAATCATGTTACTGTCCTGCTTAAAACTTTCAACAACTCCTCATTTCCTATAAGATAAAATCTGGCAAATAAGCCCCTTCATGAACTGATTTCTGCCTACCTTTTCACCATTTTTTCTGCTACTACTCACACTCCTGACATATGGAATGCCTTGCCGTATTGCAGCAAACCACGTTCTCTCATATTTTCATTATTTTGCATATACTGTTCCCTAGAATGCCATCCCCAACCCCCACCAGGTTTTGTCTTATCATCCATGCTTAGGAGCAGGGACTCAGGAGCTAGAATACCTAGGTTTGAATTTCAGCTCTACCATTTGCAAGCTGTGTAATCATGGATAAGTCACTTAATCTCTTAATGTTCTTTGGTTCCTTCAATTACAAAATAAGGATAATAAGAGAATCTTCCTGAAAGAGTTTATTGAGAAGATTAAAGGAGATAACTTATGTAAAGCACCTAGAACATACTTTTATTTATTTATTTATTTTTTAAATCATCATCAGCGTCCTCCTAAATAGTTATCTCTTCTGGGTAGTCTTCCCTGATGGTCTTAGGTGGAGGTTAGCACCTCTCCTCTTTTATCCTATTCCTTATTATACATTATATTATTCAATAATTGTCTAAGTTCTATCCTGAAGTCAATCTGTTTTAATAGGAGTGAAGGAGATTTGAGACAGGAGTGCTGTTACTCAAAGTGGTTAATAATATATTGCCATAGAGGAAGAAGTATAGTCAAAAGAAGCCAGAGTTACAACTGGAAAAGAGTGAGTATTGTCAAAGCTGATGACTTGAGAGATTGTGAACACAGCTGAGAAATGATTAAAGCCAGGGGAGAATATGGCACGGCAGAATCAGATAAACTATAGGACTGGGTGCATAACAGTGGCAAACTTTTAGAAGGGGTCCTGGGAACATGCCTCTGGATATGTTCCACAGAGAGGCGTATGACTGTACTGGGATGAACAGTGATTGTTCCACCTGGCTGAGTTCCTAAAGAAAAAGAAGTATTTTTCATACTACATACTATATTGTAATTTTGAAATTAATTTTAATCATATAAAATCCATGAATCCTTTAATTTTTTTAAAACTACATATTAAAGACCCCTTTGAAAATCACCTTCAGTTCCGATTTCCTCCTTCTCCTCAGAGGCAACAAGCTAAGATGGCTAGATTCGAACTCTAATTTCATTCTGTGCATTGCCAAACATCTCCTGGATCATAGCCTTGCTGGGTCTCTCTTGTTAATTGATGGGAAAAAGCTAGAAATGACGGAAAATGGACATATTTGGAGAACTCAGAGTATCTTAAACCCCCCCAAATGTGACTGAGCCTCCCTTGCTCTTTGAAGTGATCCTGCCCCCAACATTTGATGTGGCTCTTCTCTTGCTGGAAGACACTGTTGCTTTCTTTTCTTGAGGGGATGCTCTCAGTTCTCCTTTAGACTCCTTCATCCCACTTGTCAGTGTCTTCAGATCTGTAATCAGGGCATACCCTGGTGTCAATTATAAAATCAATCAGAGGAGAAGTCTTTGTACAAGTTTGCTAATTTATATCAGCAGAAGGCTGGAAAAGACACGTGGAAATAGATTTTGAGGCTGTTTGGCTAAGAAAGAAGAAACAGAACTTTAGATGTGACTGAATTTATTGATATAGGTATATGTATCAAATTATGGATTCAACAGGCTAGCCAGAGCAGATGTGTTTGCTTCTAATAGTTTGCTTACTTAGTTAATACAAATCTAGATTCAATAGGAGCTCATGCTAACTGAAGTTGAAAAACCAGAAATGTCTTAGAACTCAAAGACTTACGGAGATAGAAATGCTGGGGTAGACTTAGCCTTAATTCATTCAACAAATATGTATTGAATGTATACCATGTGCCAAACAGTCTTCTAAGAGGCTGGAGATATCAGTGACCAACACAAACAAAAATCTTACACTCGTGGAGTTTACATTTTATCAGAGGAGACAAATAAATAAATATATGATAAATACCATGAAATTTGAACAGAGACCTAAAGAAATGAGAGAGCAAGCCAGGCAGAAATCTGGGAGAAGCATGTTCCAAGCAGAGAGAGCATCAAGTATGAATGCAGTTGGCATGTCTGAGGGCCAACAAAAAGGCCCATGTGCAAAAAGCAGAGAGTCTGGGGTGGCGGGGTGTAGAAGATATCAGAGAGAGCTGTTGCGGGGTGGTGGAGATGGACAAGTGAAGGGGATGTGTGCCAGATCATCTAGGCTTTGTTAAGCGATAGATCTTGCCTTTTACCAGAGTAAAAGTAGTAGGAGCCATGAGGGTTTCAAGCCAGAGGAGAGAAACAATCTCATCTAGTTTTAAAAGTATCACTCTTGTTACTGAGGGGAGAATAGACTGCAGGGAGACAAGGATTGAAAGAAGGACACCAGCTTGATGGTGTTTGTAATAATCTCGGGGAGATATAATGAAAGCATTCACTATGGTGGTTGCAGTGAAGTGCAACTATTTGGATGGCAGAGCTGTCAAAATTTGCTGATCAAAAGTCAGTGGCAGATAGTAAAAAAAATTACGGTGTTACGGAAAACCACAAGATTTTAGCCTAAGCAATTTTGTAGGATGGTGCTGCTGTTAACTGAAATGGGGAAGCCTGCAGGGAATCCTGTCTGGAAAATGTGTGGGGAGTGGGGTGGGGTAGGGTGGGAGGCTGGTATTAGAAGTTTTGAACATTTTAAGTCAAAATACCAATAAGACATGTAAGTGGATATAGGCATTTGGATATTAGTCTGAAGATCAGGGAAGACATCTAGGATTCAGAAAGAGTTGCTAGAATATAGTTGGTAATAAATCCATGGCATTAGATAGCCTAGAAAATATGTGTACGTGGAGACTTTTACAAAAGATGAAACAAGCTGACCTTGCAGAGGTTGGAGAGGAGGACCAATCTCTCATCCCACCTACCCACCCACCCTGTAACTATGTCATTTGAGAGGTCCCAAGGATGTTTCTTTATGGAAAGGGCAGAGAATTATTCCCACTAGAACAGATACTTATTCTAGATTATTTTAGATTTGGATTTGCTTTTCCTTGCTTCTGCCAGCAACACTGTTTCATTGAGTTATTGGATGTTTTAGAAGCCATTATGGTATTCCACAATGGTATTCTACAAAATACTGCTTTTGACTTAGTGAGATAGGAGATGCTCAGTTTCCATGGGTCCCAGTTTCAGGACACACTTCTGGGTTTCAAGCCACTCCCCAGGGTCTTAGGCCCCTCTTCTAGGCCCTCCCCTAGAGGAGAGTTACTGTTGCTTGTTGGACCTATTTTTGGAACCAACACAGGGAAATTGAGACCTCAGGGAACTGATTTATGCAAATTCAGTGGCTGGGTATGCTCAGTAGAAAGGGGTTATGTAAACCTAATGGCTGAGCATGCTCAGTAAAGTGGAGTTTATCCTTTGAATTATCTTCTACTAGAGTTGGTAAAGAGCACAGAATATTCTTGAATATGCTTGGTGCATGTGATAAAATTTGACCAATGAACATGCCCTAAAAAGAGACCAACTGAGCATGTGCTAGACTATGTTACATAACTGGGAACCACCCCCTTACTTGAATATTCATTAGATATCATGAATATGTATTAGATAGCAAAGCTATAAAAGTTGAATCTCAGCAGAAGATGGGGTTGTTATTCACTTTCCTGGGGCCAAACCACACTTCACTGGCTGAGGTGTGTATGCTTTCTTTTTGTATCAAACTTATTTTCAGCAAGCAGTTGCTCACTCTCTTGGGCCAGCCTGTATTCTGTACTAAACTTTGTGCATTTCTTTCTTTTGTATTAAACTTGGTGTGGGTCCTGCTCAGTCTCTGGAGCTAAGTTGCACTTTTTCTGTGAAGTCTGTTTTTCTTATCTGTCACATTAAACCTGTTTTCATCTTCTACTGTGACTCTCCTCTTGAATTCTTTCCTGTGGTGGAGTCAAGAACCTGGTAAGAGGACAGGGTAGGTTGAGGCCAGCTATTGGGCCTCCCCAGACCCTCTCCTCTGGCGTCATTAGGAAGCCACTTCACAGTGAAAGGAGGAGGCAGTTACCTTGCTGTGGTTTGAATGTCCCCCCAAATTCATGTTGGAACCCCCAATACAGTGGTAGAAGGTGGGTCCTTTAAGAGGTGATTGGATCTCAAGGACTGTGCCCTCATTAATGGGTTGTCATGGGCATG